TGGTAAATATTTTAGCATCATATCCCTACGCCCAATAAACGTGACGATGAGACTACTTAACCACTTTATTATTTAAAAATTTGGTCTCATTTCATCTCCATTTTTGTTTTCAAGACAGCACTAATTCCCAATATGGAGGTAATATTGTCAGGTCAAAATAAATTCATCGATAATTTTCTAATAAAATTAAGCTTTCTACATTAATTACTCGACTAACCACTAGATAATAAAAGCATAAATTTAAACCGGGCCCTATCAATATAAGCTCGTTAGAGACAGAGGCCATCGCACTTTCCTGATGAGCTGCATTCCTCAATAACGAGTTAGTAATTACCTTCACTAGTAATTATTAGCACCTCTTGTTAGGTAATTAAACTAGCGTGTTTATGTTCATGAGTACTTTATTACGTTCAGTGCTGTGTAGTAATGCTTAGTATTTGATTTATCTGTCTGCGCGAAGATTACTTAATTAGCGTATAACAGTAGAGGTGAAGGCTTCCGGTACTGGTCAAGGGATATCATAATGTTGTTTGTTTCACATTTTATTTTTTCTTCAACATTTTAAAATTAATAAAGTAATAAAGTACATGGAGAACTATAATGAATTATATTATATACCGCTTCAACCTTCACTTCTGTCTTATCAACCATTAAAGTCTCCAATCTCCCCCTTAACTTCAGTCATATCAACCATTAAAGTATCCAGTTTCCACCTTAATTTCAGTCATATCACCCATTAAAGTATCTAGCTTAAGCCTTAGTTTCTGTTATATCCACTGATAAAGTCTACAGTTTCCTCATTAACTTCAGTCATATCTTTACCTCAGTTATATCCACCGTTAAAGTCTACAGTTTCCACATTAACTTCAGTCATGTCAACCGTTAAAGTCTCCAGTTTCCACTTTAACTTCATTCATATCAACCATTAAAGTGTTAAGCTTAAGCCTTAACTTCAGTTATATCAACCAATAAAGTCTCCAGTTTCAACCTTAACTTCAATCATATCAACCATATAAAAGTCTACAGCTTAAGCCTTAACTTCAGTTATATCTACCGTTAAAGTCTCCAGTTTCCACGTTAACTTCAGTCATATCAACCATTAAAGTCTCCAGCTTAAGCATTAATTTCAGTTATATCCACCAAAGAGAGTCTCCAGTTTCCACCTTACCTTCAGTCATATCAGCCATTAAAGTCTCCAGTTTAAGCCTTTACTTCACTTATATCCACTGTTAAGGTCTGCAGTTTCCACCTTAACTTCCGTCATATCAACCATTTAAGTCTCCAGTCTCCATCTTCAGTTAAGTTCATCGTTGTAGTTACGGTCTTATCGCTGTGCTCGCACCTCATCCTTCTGCTCACTACACTAGTTTTAGCGTGTATATCCATAAGTGTTAAACTCAGAGGCAAACTATGAAATAGAAAATAACTTTATCCGCCGCTGACGCCACGATCCTTGACATTATTTTTTTTTTGTTCAATTGATAATAGATAAATTCAATATTATAGTAAAAAAAATTAGTTTTTTTTATTAATTTGCTAAGGAGAATTGTATGAACCAAGAAGTCCCTGTTCTATCGAATTGGACAGTTTTTGTTGTATTTATTAAAGCTACATTTATTTGAATCGTCTTGACATAACCCATTTACTAGCTTTCAACAAATATTTAGGATATTTTACTCTAAGGTATGGTACAGTTTTTAGCCAATTTAATGAAAACATACATTTTTTATTGTTTAATAAACCGTAACAGCACAGTTAAATATAGGCCTACCTAATATTTATTCGTACGACATAAGGCATGATAAATATTGTTCTGGATAGTCAATCCGTCTATGTGCTTTGTCACATTATCTCCCTTAAACGATACGTTATTAAAACATATATAATTTAAATAATGAATTTATCTATGTAAACAAAAACATACAAAGCAAAATAGTTTAAATAATACATCAGAATACACTCACTAATCCATAAGTTATTTTACTGGCGATAAAGCTCTCCCAGAAATACAACCATCAAAGCGTGTGGCTAAGATGCCACTTACTTGTCGCTTTTGACAACCAATAGATTTAACAAAATATAAGCTACCAACAAGACATAATTTAGCCTCGCTATGGCTCGAGGAGGCCCATAAAATGTTGTATAAATTGGACAGCCCGCCAGAAAGCTGGGTAATATTCAATATGGGGACGCGGTCCGCTACCGGTGGTAATCCTGCGCTTTACGTCGTCGTTAGCGCGCGCACGCGGTCACGCCGGCAACCGCGCGGGTTAGGAAGCATGAGCTTTGTCCATGTAGCTGTATTTACATATGATGACAATACTGGTGCGATGACAATGACACCCAACTCTTATAATCCCAGGGGAAACGATGCCCCATTTGCTTCATTATGTATATGTAAATAAGTTTGTGTAAATCAAATATCTTAATAAATGCGTAAGTTTGAAAATGTCTATATGTAAATGTCTGTGGGTTTTTTAAAATATTTTGCACGATTTATGTAAATATATCCTTTGCTTATACTGTAATAAGCTTAGTGTACTGTAATATTGCCGTGTTTCCCGTTGGACAAAATTGAAGAAAAGTTGTTTTTGAGACAAAAGATTATGAATAGATAAGAAAACCCGTATTATTAGTTTCTTTCATTTATAACATTAGAAATAGTAAGTTATGTAATGGTATGATGGATGAAGGTTGAATATGGTTTGACAAATTAATCACATCTGTTGAAAATCGTACTGTTGTACCATGGACTAACAAACACAAGTAGACTTCCCATCCCATTGTAAATTTTGAAGCTCGTTTTTCGTGTCTAGTTCATTTCCGGTAACACGGGTTGCTAGTGTCGACGAAATTTTGTTTCTACTATTTTAGAGTTAATTTCATGATTTGTGCTTTACTTATATAACTAGAGGTACAGTTATCGTTTATGATTATGTGGTATTATTTGGTTAAACGGGGTTTTAAATTACTGAAATAACAAGAAACAAATTGTAAAATAAACTCGACCTCTACAGTGCACCGGATAGAACCAACGATAAAATTGGCTTCAGCTGTTCCATGAGGATGGAAAATCTACTAAGGAAGTATGTTTTATCTATGGTACTACTAAATTTGAAACGCATTTCTATTTGTGTCAGGTAAATTTTATCGGTGTTGGGCTCCAACAACTAGTATACCCTTTAAAGGAAAACGTTAGAGTGCATTAACATGTAAAAGCGAAATCTTATATTATATAGGCAACATATCGTACCAAAAAGCTAATGTTTGTTTCTAGGACATTATGCTATAGCCCAGGATCACATTACTTTAGGCTAGACCTAGGGGTCACGGCATTATCACTTGGAAAAATAAAATGGTGATTTCGTGGAATTTGAACCCAGGACCAAAGTCCCACTCTCTACCAATAGACCAGCTTGCTGCCAACAAAATACAACTACATCCACACGTATTATAAATCTTGGTATACTTCACAGATTTACAATATTGAATACGATGCGATGAATATCCTGTTATCAAAGCTCTACACTTGTATTATTCCTCTCAGTTTCGAGACTAAAGGTTTGACAAGTTCTAAGTACACAGACTACCACATGACTACAGCTACATTCCTACAAATCCTGTATCCTGAGACTGATCCTTCTACGGCAGACAGCACGGCGACGACTCTCCACTCACCAGACGTGAAGACTCCTCTCATTCCGATCTTCCGAGATTCTTTCTTTCCTCGAATCATATCTTCCTGGATTTTCTTTTTGTTGGAAATGTCATAGATTGTTAAGCCTTTTTTGAGTAATGCTCATTAGTAACTCGCCTTCATACGTTTCACCGCGGAGTAACTGAGATTTCACAGATACGTGTCATGATTTGTTTAACATACTAGGACGGTTTATTTACTTTTATATTTGTTATAATTGCTGCTTATTTAATATTTAGATAATTGTTTTATGTAGACTTAAGAAGATGTTACCCCCAGCTGCTCATTTAAGCCTCTACTAAATACTGTACCGTCAGTATCAAATTCATATCAGGGAGGTGAGCCGGTGGCTCAGTTAGAAGTGCCACAGACTTCGGCCCAAGGCAACGATGTCGTAGGTTCGGATCCTGGTACCTGATTTTACTTTTTGTCAGTACAGTTCACCCATGTCTGCTGGAGATCTTCCACATAAAACCTCAGTCACTCATATGAACAGGCAAATGCAAGGTTAAGAGGCCACCAGCCTACAAAGGTTAAAAAGTACAACAATGAATCTCCCAAATGCTAGCGGATGAATTCGGAGGCTCGAAATACCTTCAAAAGACATAAATAGTATTCAAAAATATGCCTTCTGAACAATTGAGTTCATAGTCTTGTTAGAGCCACGCAATGGCTCAAATGGGGAGGGACCTTCTTGGTTTTAAATTATATTATAGTATGCCTTACTCCACAAGTTTACATTCCACCCAGCCATATTCAATGGCATTCCTAATTTCCGTTGGATGAAATTCTAAGACATAATGCTATCTTGAAACATCTCATTACTTCACTTGTAACACTAATTATGAACTTTCTTAGTAACACTCTTTGCTTGCAACACTCTCATTATAAATATATGTTTATCTTAATTTTGAAGATTGAATTTCTTACTTAACAAAAGAAGGTATTCAATAATATTTATTACAGATGCCACTACATCTTTTCCTGTCTTTTCAATTTTAATTTCCAGCGTTCCATACGTATTTTTACGCCAACCACTTTGAACCTTTGCATGGATGGTTGTATACTCTTCTATTTACTATAAACAATACTCTACTATCTTCAAGATCCTTTGTGAAAATGTGTCAGCGCTTGAATAATTTGCTTTTGGATTTAATTTTAATTTGCAATCAAACTGTCTATATTTTTAAATACGATTTGTACAATGCCAGCGAGATCGATTATTGAGCTATGTAGCTCACTTAGGAAACATAAACCATACAACATACACTACTATAAGCCAGATCTGTATTTTTACAGATTCTTCAAATGACTGACACAATTCCAAGATGGCGGACCATATGTTCGCGAAGAACCCGAGCTTTGAGTTCAATGAGCCTAGAACACGGTGTATACCTGACCCTGAGGATGATAACCTATGTAAGTTAATATTTTATAGAATCGATTATTGTAATAATCTATAATCTATAGTTTGATAATACTATTTATAAAGTTGAAAAACTCATCTTGAACCTTCTTCTTTTAATGACTTATTGAGCTCTTAAACGAGGTGAAAATTGAATCACAATCAATAGTTATCATGATTTGTTTCAACATACAGTATACCGTTGTGGATGACTTTTGGTATTATAAAATGAAAGAGGCGTTTTCTTTGGCGTCCTTTTTAGTAAGTCTAGATTATTCGACAAGTTTAAAATAAAGTTGTTGTAAGTAAATGCAGCAGAATTCTGGATAGGCTCTCTGGTGAAATTAATTGTCAGTTTCCAGTTAAATTTAGTATCCAGCGTTAGAAATACAGTGCTGCAAGCTCTGCCTAAAAAAAACTTTACTCAATAAGGTTATGCCAGGGTTTAAGAAGGGGAATGAGTGCTTGTTTATAACCAATGTAAAACATGGTTCAATTATGATACAATTATTGGTTTAATGGGGTAAAATTGAAAGAACTTTCTCATGCATTAATCTGCTATAGTATTAGTACCTCATTACTTTCTCACTAAATTTGCCTAAATATCATTATGGATATGTATGAAACTGATGTATTGTATCCTTTTTTTATTAAGAGGGTAGTTATACTATACATCATAAACTATACGCATCATTGTAAACAACATCATCTTATATATTCCTATTTAAACCAAGCAGATGGGATTTCAACCGAGTTAGTTAACACCAATTACAATAGCAATGTCTTTACATAAACATCGTCCTATCAAAGGAAAATAACAGTGACTTTAGTTGAGCTTGAACTACTAGTTGAACTACCTAGGACAGTTAAATAATGTATAGTATAAATTTACATACATCATGTATTGCCTGCGGGTTTATTTTGAGTTTCCAACCCATGTATCTAGACATATTCAAGACCCCGCTAGAGATTGTGCCAAGGTCAGAGTGGGGTGCTGCAGACCCCTACACCCTGGACCTGTCTACACATCCCCTACCTCACATCTTCATGCTGCTGATGTACACGAGGACTGGGGTGTGTCGCGGAGACAACTACTGTGCTAGAATACTGCGGGAGGTGCAGCAAGAACATATGCTGAAGAGGAACTTACCTGACATACAATGGAAGTGCGTGAGACCTAGTCGTAACTCCGAAATGCACTGCTCTGAAACTCATTTTTCAGCAGTGCCTTCCGTAGCAGGCCTCACATTTCCTACTGTCACGGAGCAGTTCCTTAAACATTTAATTATTTTAGAAGCAGGGCATTCTAATTTTGTTTTAACAGTTCCTTAGCATTTAATTTTTTTCAAATTAGTGAATTATAATTCTTTTTGGAGCAGTTCATTCGCATTTAATTATTTCCAAAGTAGTGAATTCTTCTTTTTGGAGCAGTTCCTTAGCATTTAATTCTTTTCGAAGTAGTATATTCTAATTATTTTTTGAGCAGTTCCTTAGCAGCGCATTCTTTTCGGAGCAGTTCTTTAGAAGTGAATTTTTTTCGGAGTAAATCCTTAGTAATATATTATTTTTGGAGCAGTTGTTGTTTGGAGTGAGACCACATGCTGGTAAAAAAAGTCCACAATTGAGTGAAAGGAAAACATTAGACGAAAATACTGTAATTGACAAAGATATGTGATTCAATATTATTGCTTCGTTAGTTCTTGTCACATTCAAAGAACAATTTACAATGGTCTAAATGGTTTAAGGCATATTGTTTTGTGCTAATAATTAACAATTATTGTACTGAATGTTATAAAGCAAAATTAAGCTACCACGCTGTTTAATATGATTTTGATTTTGATAATTAACGCGTGACAATTACAAATTAATTATTTTTTGCTTTTATTATGTTTTGCAGTTTTTCAAAATAAAACACTTAAGTTTTTCCTGTAAATCCATTACATTCATTAAAATTTTACTATATTTAAAAAGTAAGATATTTGGTGTTTGCTATGTTATGCTATATTATACAGGTGAGGTAATGTTATGTTCTTTGTTTAGTTTCATGATTGGAGGGAACGGTAAAGTTTACGAGGGAAGGGGATGGAAATACTCCGCTACAAAGGACTCAGAGAACATGTCCTGGGATTGGAAATCATTCGACGTCGCTTACATTTGCAGCAAAGAGGGTGTGTATATTGGCGATATTGATATTCAAACTACTGTCATTTGGAAAAATCTACTTAGGATTGGTCATTTCAAGTAACTGGTGTAATTTTATTGGTGAATTATTTCAAACGATCCATTTTTCAAACACGTGCCTGGTGACTCCATCGGTAGCGCTGTGAACCGGGAAAACAACGCAGCAATGTAGTGGATTAGGTTCCCAGGTCACTTTAAATTTATCAGTTAATTTTATTTTGGTTTTAGAATTGATTTAGTTTATTTTAGGAAACTCTTACTGTATCGACTTGCCAATTTCTTGTATTGACTTGGCCTGTTCCATGCAAAGCGCCTTGAGGGCCATATAGACAGAAAATGATGGCTAAATAACGTAAGAAAGAGGCTTTAAATGAGCAGGATATCGTTTGAAAACCTAAAACGTCATAACCAAAATATTTCGACTTCAAATTACTCAACATTTATATCCCATTATTATAACTCAGTTCTGTTACGTACATTGGTGGGGAGCGAGCTGGCGTAGTGGTTAGACGCGGGACTTCAGTCCCTGAGGTCCCGGGTTCGATACCCGCCAAGTCACCAATGGATTTTATCATAGATTAAACATATTTTATCCAAGTGATAATGCCGCAACCCCTAGGTCTAGCCTGAAGTAATGTGAAAAACAATCCCATGCTCGTGCCTAAAAAACGTACATTGAATCCTGTTTTATGGCTTTCACAATCCTATTTATAAATCTTATACATAATATTCTCAAATATTTACAAACTTATTTTAAACAACCATATGATTTTTTAGATGATTAAGCTATCTAACTCAATCTTACAATCTTTTAGAAATGACAAACAAACAAACTTGTAATTGTGTGAATCGTTTACTCCGAAGAAAACTTTTTTACTCTTAGGTAAACCACAACTCCATCAATTTTAATCTAAGTTAAACATATATATATATATAACTGCGTATATTGGAGATGGTGATGAATAGTTTTTAAATATAAACTATTTCAGAGGATGTTACAAAACAAATGAAGAACGCCGCTAGCAAACTGGTCAGGCTTGGTATTCAGTTAAACATGCTGGTTCGAGACTTCGTAGTCCTGGACGATATGATCTTCAGACCTGAGGACTATCCTAAACCAGAGGGGAAAAACATGAAGCTGTATACACGACTTTAATTGCAACCCGTTTATTGTAGATGTTTTATTTCATTTTTTAAACTAAGATTTTTATAACCTTACTTTACACGTATTATGTGTACATATTTAAAACATATTAATTAAAAAGATCGATTAAAATAAAGAAACAATATAATTTCTATACGTTAACATAGAAAAAAATACAAACTACTGGAATATGTTAAATAGAATTTCAATAGCTTAAACTATACAAAATATTTGACTAAAAAATATTTGACTAAAATTTCAAAAACAACAATATGTTAATAATTTAGTCCTAATTTAGTTAATAATTTAGCTATAAAATTCTATCCTCACTCACCTATTACATAAAAAAAAAAAACTAAGAACTTTGCTGGACTTAGTGAAAAGCATTTCAACCAAGCCTTTAACAAAATATATTTTAATTGTTTTAGTAAAATATGTTTTTTATATCCCTAGTTTTTAATAATTTCACCCTCAATCCACAAGATTTCATAGATGGTATATAACTCATAATATCAAGAGGAATGTGTAAAATAATTGTAGATTAATCTGGTCCAATCACTTGAAACTGACTTTTATCACCTTTAAACTCTTGCACATCAACGTTTAGTTCTATGAATCACTGCAGGTATGTGACTCTTGCCTCGTCGGTAGTTTGAGAATCATTGAAAATCATTGATCTCTGGTTCTTTTTCTGGCTTCACATATCTTTTGTCCAACTCAAAAAATCTGTATTTAGCCTCTATATAATTGCCTTGCATACCAAACATGAATAAAGTGAAAGTAGGATCCAGCATTGAGAAGGCTGGGTTCAAATCATCTGAAATACATATAAAATCTCTTGTACAATATTTTTCAGAAACCATTATTTGGAACGCTATTATAAGGTTTACATTAATACTGTACTGTAAATTAATAATAAGTTTCCTTAATGATAAGTGTCTTTAGTACCACTTATAAAACAAATTAATATAATTGATATTTCGCTATAAAATCTTACATGATTTTAAACTATTCAAGGTTATTTTGTTAAAAGAAAATGTAACGGAAAAATATTCTTGGCAAATAAATTTGTAGCTTAGGTCAAAGTAAATCCTTTATTCATTCACCATTACGATTTCATTAATCTTTACCATGGTAACTCGTGCTAAGACATTATCTATCATATATATTTTAGAGGCGACAGTTCAATGTTATTTTAAAGTTGGAAAATATTGAGCCTAATTAGGTAAGATGTATTACAACTAGGAAAACAATTTTTGTCCCACTACGGACCAAGTTTTCGGTAGTCATTACTTTTCTGGGTCCCCAATAAATTTTTCGGCTTCCATGTCCGAAGGTAGCTGGTTCGATCCATAACAGTCAATTCTGGATCCAGTTGCGATGCACTCAATTAGTTATTAAGCTATCTTATAAAAGGTTGATGTTAGGTAGTAACAAAACCAGGGTTTGGACCGTTGCCATAAAAAAACAACACAGTTACTCACTTCTCCAGTCCCCAATGTAGGCAATGTCCAGCCTCGCCTTTTCTGTATTTAAACCCTTTGGAGTCTCCAACTTAGGGCAAGACTTGCAGTACCACCCTCTTCCCTCGTACACCCTCCCGTCACAACCAACCAGAAAACTGGGGAAGAAGAATAAAATTATGGATTAATGTTAAAGTGTGATAGGATGATGATAAAATCGTGATGAGTGTGTAGTTATTTCATACGGTATATTTGAAGAGCCATTTTTTCTCTTCCGCGTCCACTCTCCGATGCAAAGCACGGGTTTTTTATATTATATATATATTATATAGTATCATATCTACAGCTATGATGTACTAGCTGAATGTAATCAAATTCTTTACTTGTACTGTATATCGCTGTATCCCTGTTGCAGCTGTTTTCTCTGAATCTCCCGCACAGTTCTCTCGCACTCCTCAGGGTTTACGCAGGGGGTTGTATCAGTGTTGAGTGTAGCGACGATGTTGCCCACGATCCCTCCCTGGGCCTCCCCAAGGGTCCGAGGGGGCAAAGCCCCCCACTCCTCCCTCGGCACGATCTGGAGGTTGAGGATAACCTGGGGAATAATGAGTTTAAAATTATCTGCAGAATATGCATTGAGTGCTAAAATCTGTAACTCGGAAAATTATCAATAACTGATAATGTTATTAAAAACTCTTCCAAATATCCCCCGGGTTTAAATAGTAATCTTAACCTTAGAAGAAACAAGGAGATGGTACCATCAAATTTAGAACTGGCAATATAATTTGTTTAGTGCAACTTAGGTTTAAATAAGAGTTATAGGCCTACTATATTTTTTGTCGTGACAATCACCACCTCTCCCGTTTGTCCTGCAGTATAGAATTATCTGCTTAATAGTATAAACTCCAAAGAATATTTCAAATTAATAAATATTTTACCTATTCTAAATTCAATAGAAAATGAATTCTGATAAATTTATAATTTGTACTGTGTACCTACCCATAGTTTGTAAGTATCTTTCAAGATCAATCTAACTATTATTGTAGAAACTGACATAAAATAAAAGACGTCAAAAAATAAAATAAAGAAGTTAATCAACATCTACGTATTTAGAGGTTAACAGTATGTTCAATATATGTTTGAGTTTCCAATTTGAAAAAAGAGCTTTAACTAAATAAATTTAAAAAAAATCTACTTAGCATGCTGGTTTTACTTTTTACGATTGAAATGAGAATAATATAATTATAATTTTACAATTCGTATACAGGGTTAGGCAAACGTCTGGAGCCCCCCAGTTAACTTTTTATATTCTCAGCACATATTTACAACATAAGAAATTGCACTTTTCCATCAAAGTCACAACGTTGCCCCAGCCCCCGAAATGGGGTATTTTGGGGGCAGCCCCAAATTTTCAAATGTAAACACCTATCATGTGACTTCTCATTTTAAAGGGTTTATCAAGAGAAATTGAATGGTGCAAACCAGAGGTCAATATCAGATCAACACCAAACCACTGAGGTTACTGTGAGGTTATAGTAGATCGGGTGCTGGGTCCGAGCCCGCCAGGGGTATCTGGGGATCTATCGCTCTGGTTATCTCTGGTTTCCCAGCAATGGGTAAGGCCTCGATCGGGTAGTGGTGTAAATGGGAGGTTGGGGTTCCCCCCGTCAGCGTGCTGACGGTCCCCTTCCTCCTGGCTATTGATGGCGGGTTCTGCCTGTCAGGGATTAGATAGGTCCCGAGTGTTGCTTGCACTAAATGCGTCGGGGCGCTCTACCATGGACCTCTAGGTCCTGACCTAGTGGAACCCAGGTGGAGTGACGCTTAAACAAGCAGCCGGAATCCCTGGTTAGGATTGAGGGGCAACCCTCCTTCCGAAGGGTCTGCTTCGGCAGCCGGCGAGCCTGATGACCTTAAGTCATCCGCCCATGATGTGCTAAAGGTTGATGCGTAAGCTTCGGCCTACATCATGGGGCCCGGGTATGTCCTAAAGGATAGGTACCGGGTATGCAGTCAGGGGGCTTCGGCTCTCATGACAAATAATGTAATAATGTAGAGGTCAATATCAATATATTATCAATATATTAACTGGGGGGTTCCAGACTTTTGCCTAACCCTGTAGTATGTTTATTACTGTATTTTGAAAATCTATTTTTATTATGTCTCATCTATATTTATTTGACAAAGCATAATTATACTTTTTTATGACGATTATTTACTGTTTTGTTACAAGTGCTTGCTTTTATTGTTAGTTTTATATTCATCACACCCTTGAACAGTTTAAGTTTATTAGTTCACGACGACTTAGCTATATTATATTGATCATAATCATCACTTACCGGGTAGTAGCCATCATCTCTTGATTTCACAGCAAATCTATCCGCATCAAAAAGCTCAATATCGGAGGTCATTATCACTATCACGACTAAATAATATGTTGGAATGGGAGGGGATAGAGTTGAGCGTTGAGATTCATATCTCAAATCATCCAGTAGTTCAAACAATAACTAATGTTTGCTTGAGTTTTCAACGTGTTCATCTTTTTAAGTTTATAACTCTTCATTGTGCTCTTTGTCACTGATTTCCCAGTGTTAAATGAAATATTGTTTTCTATAGTTTAATCATAACCGATCAAGAGAGAGTTATATGGTTATATTTCAAACTAAACTGTATTTTTAAAGTTTAGTGTATTTTACAAGAAAGTCGGGGTTTATTTCAGGGGTTGGTACACACATGCCATAACATGCCCCCAGGCCTTAACGAGTACGTTTTTTCCGTTTCATAAGGTATTGGGCAATACAAAACAAGTCATCTTGTTACAGCAAACATCAGAAATAAATCTATTCTACAGTAACCTAATATACGTAATGGTTTTCACTCATCACAAAACCGCAATCACCACGTAACTGTAATGGCTAAGATAAACAACACCCAAAATATCAATTTTTCATCTCGGACTTTTGCAAACACCTGCAATAAACTCAAAAACAATCCTATGTCCCAAACTGGGGCAGCCACAACTTGGGTATAATGAAGACATAGGCCTCCACCACTTTATCAGCCAGTGGGTGGTGCCCCCCTCTAATAGCCCCCTGTCGGGCCCCCGTCATTATGCCGTGTGTCTCCCCCGGCCCCGGGCCTCGTACGTTTGGTTTCGTACAAAATTATACCACCATCGGGTGTGGTTGCGTATCCGCTACCAGCGTAACCGGCGGATGTCTTTAGTAGGGGAAAATTTGTGAGGATCGCTTTCACTTGGATCATTTTTACGTATTCAGTTTCATAATGTATAAATACGTTTCTTACTTATATATGTTGATTAGTATAGTTTTCTACGGCTAAGCATGATTTGTTATCATTTCCTTAAAACAATTTGTTACATAGCCTGCAGAAAGTCCTAGGAAAGAATTTTCCTGAGTCATGATTATATTTTTTGTAAGATCTGTTATAATATCAGTTCAAGATATACAGAATAATAAAGCAAATATAAACTAGGGAAGCCCTTGTTTGTATAAAATTGTATGGTATCACATTTTTTTAATCTTTACCATACAACCTTTTACTTTAGGAGGAATGTAAAAGGATACATAGTAAAAATGCAAGAATAATGCAGTAAAAATACGTTAAAATACAGAGTCTGCTAAAATACACAATATATTTCTTAATTTTAGATGGCTAAGCAGAAACACATTTCTTTACCTATGCTCGACGTAGTAAATATAGAGTTGAGAGCTTATATATCTCAAAATATTATAGGCCTAAGCTAAAAACTATACCATAATATTCAACCAGCAGGCGACTTTTTTTACTTTCTTCATTTTAAACAGCAATATGTAATGTATACACCTTTCAAAATGTAGACTGTAAAAAAAGCTGTACCTTATTATAAAGTAAAGGCATCATTCACAGATTGGACGCAAGCCAAAATAACAGTTCCAAGAAGGAGCTACACGAAGACAACCGTTGTAATACATATTTCACCGATAACCGACCGCCAACAATACAACAACAATGTCTTGTAATGTCAGGTTGATCAGCTGATTGTTGATAACGATGTTATCATTGTTCGTGCACGTTGTTCTTTTATCACGACAAGCCACGTTTCCGATACGTGATAAGATTGTTGGAATCCTTCCATCCCGTGTTTTCATCATTTTATTACCATTCCTTGCAAGAATAACTTAGTGGTCCATAGTTGTATTGATTCTTTACTCTAGTTTGAGTTGTAATTACTTTTAGTATTTTTTATGGAATATCGTACGTGTGGGGCTTCATTGAAAGGATATAATAGGTACAAGATAAAACAAAAAGTGTTAGAAAAATAAAATAGAGTTTATATTTTATTGACTAATGCACGTATCCTTTATTAAGTGAAGCCTTAGATTTTTAATCCCCACTTTAAAGTTGTCACCAGCTCTTAAATCGAAATTGACGTATATGTATCGAGTCACCGACAGATTGCGCTGATATAAATTACTAATTTCTGTCGAATATGTGTACATTTTAACAACAAAAACACTGATATGACATCTTGTTGTAAGCTATACCATCTTTTACACCACTTTAGATAGCTCAGTACAAATAATGAATTAGAAAATATAATGTTATAAACTAGCACTCACTGTAAGTGGCTCACTCAACCATGTTCATTTGGAGAAAAATCGCAAAAAAATCATGGAAAACAGCTCGTCCATTTTATATATGGGAAGTCTACTTCAGTTCCCGTCAATAGTATTACGTTCACTGCGACACAAAATAAATTGTTGTACAGTAATTATATAAGGAAATTTTTAGCGGCTTATTGTACACTTGTGGAAATCTCATTAAAATACAAATAAAAATAAATTTTCTTATTCTTCCTAGTAAATATACCCTCCTACTGAACTTCACAAGTTGAAATTAACTAGTTGAAATTAGTGCATTCCAGAAGAACTCTTCAAAGTTAAAATCTATCGAAGACAGTATAATGCATTTAAACCATTATTTATTACTATACCAATGATCCGGAGGCTAACAACATGAACAAAATGTAGACTCACATTACCTAGGGTGTAAAAATAATACATAACAATCCGCCAATCTGTAGAGTTCCCAGCGACCGCGAGTAGATCACGCTACATTCCAGCAAAGATTGCCTCACACAGCTGAGGCACTCCGATAATAACGCAACTTCTGAAATTGACACTTAGCCTTCGATTACGCATCCCCTATCTAGCTTCAGGAATTAATTCTACTCTTGCTCGTATTAGACACTACTGACCTTTGTAATTCCTTTCCCACCGAGAGCGTTCTTCGGGTCCCTTGGTGGGGGAATATATAACAGACTGTGTGTGTAGCATATACAATCGTGACAAATAACTATCTTCTGAGATCACTTGGAAAAGAATAAGTGGTGATTATTCTAATCGTAATATTTACTGAAAAAACTACTGGGAAACGTGAAATTGTAATAAAACCAGTTCATGGGTGATAGTTACAGTATGACAATTATCAAAGAGTACTCATTAGGTACTCACGAGTTTAAATAAAGATTGAACATAATTCCTTATGGATTTATTCTGCTTTTGGATCAGCTGAAGATAATTTCAATAATATTTCACCCAGTCCGGGCGTTTCTTTGTTAACTGATTGTTCTTGTTATTTTAAGTAGTTTAAATCAATTTGATTTAGTAGAATTATTAAGTTGCTTGAACCATTGCTTGAACTCTAATCTTATGACAAAAGAAATCAAATGTACCCTCAAATAAGAGATAATTATTTAGTAGACATCAGTGATCTACACATCACACACATGAGATTTTGCAATAGTAAACGTCCACTAACTACTCAAAATCAATGACTTAAGCACTGACATAACATTGGCAAGTTGAAGTCAGGACTTGTGCAGTTATTTGAACGAGTCACAACCTGCTATTGTTACAATTTGAATATCAAGTTCATCAAGTCAAAGACCTAACACAACTTCAATGTAACTACAGAAGAGTTCTTTGGTTCAAACGATGGAAAGTAAGATCCAAAAATTTCCAACTCCAAGACTCACGGATGACCTCAAGTTTTATTGTTCCTAATGGGTTTTAATAACAGAAATCATCTCTTAGCTGGTTGTAAGCTTCTAATCATTACAACACGTAGCGAGACAGTGATGCAGTGATCATTGATGCAGTGATGCACCGAGGTCAAAGATCACTGATTTGTCACCGTTGGATTGCATTGGGGTGATTATCCCCTTAGCCTCAAATCACTGAGCCGCCCTCCACTTACCTAGGACTTCTGACCCAAGCAAAAATGCGTACAAAATCTGCAACAAGTTGAGTTCCGATTGTCTGTGTTTCTTGGTAGTTAGCGAGCTGTGGTTTAACGTTTGGTTGTGAGTGAATAGGAATTTCGTTTGAATTTTTCAAAACTGAGAAGTCACTAAGAAGTTCTCTCTTTAATGTGGATAGTTTGGTCCAATTTCTATATTTTTACATCAAAATGGAAGAATTTCTAGAGATAATAACTGTTGTTATATTTGAACATAAATATGGATTTGTAATATGAAATTCTCGATTTTCCTTGTTAATGTTTCAACCTCAATATTATTTTATTGTAATGAACAAGCGTTTGAAAATATATTTTCAACTTTATTTTGTTGTACTAGCGAAATATTTTGTATGATGAGCATGTGAATCAAAGTGAGAATAACATGTAAATTAAATTTATTATGTATAAAATTTTATTGTATCCTATTTTATTTTTATTACACCTATACTTCAATTTATGCTTTAAATTAAAATGAGTTCAATAAATATTTCTAAATCATTAAACGTTTAAATAAAAAAAATTTTAACTTTTTTTTATTTTAACATATAATTATACGAAAATCCAAATAGCTGTTACATTGAAAATTACGAAAACGAGAAATAGATGTCAAACAACGTTCAAACTAGTAAAGAAACACACGCAGATGCTAGAGTTGTGAATATCACTGAGCTGGTCATACTAAAATTATTTAGGATTTATAATTATTCTAAGTTAGAGATTTAAATATTGATAAAATTGATAACCCTTTAACTAAGTTAATGTATTATATCGGATAGGCTTAGTTTGTTCCATATCAAAAGAGAATACACATTGGAAAACAAAGATATTGATTAAGTAAGTATTTACGGATCTAGTAAGTGTTAAGTACACACTCCAGTATTGAACTGATATGTTGTTCAAACTAGAACTTAAATAGTGTTTTAGTAAGGATTATTAAATTTTTATAGTAAATTAAATCATTATACGTAATAATTTTAGTAATGATCTATTGCTAAACTAATAGCAAGTAAGAAGAGGTAATTATATACTGAAACGTCTTACAAACTATGAGAGACACTTATGAACATTAGTTTGGGTAAATAATAATTTGAAGCTAATTTTGATCCATATATTTGTTGCAGTAAAATATAGGTGTAATACTAATACAGTAATTATTTAATCAAATAAGTGGTAATTTAATACGATATTAAAAAAAATTAACTAATGGCCCCACATTTGATCAAAAAAATACATATGTAAAACTGGAAAGAAACTATACTACTCTAAAATACGTTAAAGAATCCTTTAGGATTTATCTCAAAACAATCTCTTTTACAAACGGCAGGAAATTATGTTTTTTCATACAGTCAGATGAAAAATTCAGCTTTATTCATTATATGGTCTTAAATTTCATCATTAACTAATAACTCTATACAAATGCAATTAATGAAATCAATGCTTAATTTTTAATCAAACATGTTATTGGTGTTCCCAGTTTGCAGCGATGGTGATTGAGAAGCTAAGGTCTGTTGACCCTAAAGTAGACATGCTGAACCCTCCAACCATGTTCATGACGATGATAGAGCGAAGAGAATGGGGTGCCAGGGTACCTGTGTATAGGCTGAAGACTGAACTGCCTTCAGACACTGTCCTACTCAGATACACAGGTAGATTCCATAGCATACACCCTTCATTTTAACAATTACTTTATTAAATACTATGTGTTTTAAATTCGTAATTATTTCTGTCGTTTTTATTAGATGGGGACGCTACCTACCCAAATAGGAGTAAAGGATGAGTGTAGAATGGAGCAAGATGGTCTGTGTGGCTTTGTTATGGAGTAAGATCAGCTGTTTCATTACCCAGGATCATTAATTTAAAACCCAATGATCAAGGATAGCTGGGTCCAACTTCGAACCATCAAAAAGCTACTGACTTTTTACATGACTTTTTACACCTTTTATATCCCAGGATAATGGGGTCTGTTCTGGTCTAAAACTGATGTAGTTTACTTTAGGCTTAGAGGGTCCCGGTATTATTGGATAGGTTAAATAACAAATTAATTAAACCAACGACAATACCATTGAATTGTTTTTAATTTGTATAGATTCAAATTAACATTTAATGTGTATATTAACATTTATTGAGAACCTCCCCTTAAAACAATAGCATGATTGAATTAACGGCAGCTTTTCATTATAGTAAGTTTAAATTTGCAATAAATCGTTATAAAAATAAAAATCTTATACTAACACCATACAATAACTAATATTTTATTTGAGTCAACCAAAGTTGGTTGATGAACTTACACATACATTTCATATATTTATTAAATTAAAATGTAATAAAAGAACGCATGCATCATTAAGATAAAGATCAGCTAATATCAGCTAATCAGGTAGAATTACCGTTCTCAAGCCACTCTGTCAATGATTTGACGATTATTTAACATCTTTTTCCTCAGGGACGGAGACATGTAAAGACGAGACTTCCTGCACGAAGCTTATCCAAGATCTCCAAAAGTTGCAGATCGATAAACTGAATCAAGCCGACATAATGTGGAAGTAAGTTGGACGAATTCATCAATGGATTTGTGTTAAAAAGTGACTAGTAATCTCTCTGCTTGGATAGGTGTTCCTTAATATTTAGTTTTAGTTCTAAATAGAACATTTTTCAAACGCTCTTCATGAAACTAAATTTATTATGCGTCGTAGCGTGTTTTAAAATACGATTTTGGATGAGATTAAATAGGCCTTGAGTCCAGAAATCACGCCAAAAAACAATATGAGTATTATGTTACGTTAAATAATATTCCGAGAATAAATCAAATTAAAACGACGACTTGTACACAATCGTAAACAAAATAATCAAAATTGAATTAAGTTTTAATGTTTTTATTGATTGAATGCGTTAACGTAAACAAATTGTAGCATAAATAATAAATTTCCTAAAATTATTTTATGACTCAAAGCAATTGGAAAAGACCTGAATTTAAAACCTAAGTACTACTACGGTGTTATGTTGATCGTTAGAAGTATTTGGGGGATGAAATTGTGTTCCTTTAATGCTGAACACAGAATAACGTCTCGTTTAGTTTTTTTCACTTTAATTTAGTTTTAATATGGTTTATTAATTAGTTGTTTATTGGTATTTTCACGTACGGTTGAAAATTTCTGAAGACATATCAAACAATACACATTTCCGTATACGCAAATATCGATATAGTCTAACTATCGAAATCAATGTATGCCTATCGTTTTATTCCCACTCTTAAAACTTGTATTTATTTACTAGGGTAAACTGTTTTTTGTTTAAACAATTTATTGTAAACAAGATAACTCTTATCGTAATTCGTGTTGATTACATTTGCCATAGACGAGCATTCTACCAAACCTAATGGATTTGGTGGTGACGTTTTTGTTTTTAGTAGTAGGAGTTCAAGCTTATTGGTTGTATTGGATGGTGATGAAGAATTAAACCTCTAGTTACTTCGAAACTTGTGCATTTTAAGAAAATACTCGTGTATGTCATGGAGTACTTAATTGACCATTGTAGTTAGTAAATTTAATGTTTAGTTTCATGATCGGAGGAGACGCGAAGGTATATGAAGGCACGGGATGGAGGCACACAACGCCAAAAGAGGACAAATACATGGATTATGACTTTAGAAACTTGGACATCGCTTATATAGGCAAAGACAACAGTAAGTGAACAAATATGTCATTCATCCTTCACTAATATTTAGAATATAGGTGGCGTCCCCATCTCAGTTTATTTATAATTGATAAATTTGGAAATTTTCCAGAAATACAAAGTTTTGTCGGGTTGAAAAATTATGATTCAATACTATTAAAATAATTTCATTTATATTTTCAATGTTTATAGTGTGTTTAGGATGTTTTTATTTTGTAACCAAATAAATTAGGACCAGGGCCGTTAAATGTAAGAGAAATGCTAAAACATAAAACAGTTAGGAAATTGTGTCAGGCTATGTGTTTTTGTGTATTAAGGGTAGGTTCTTAAGAGAATAATACTTTAGTAATATGTTTACGTTGTTTACAAAGTTGCATTGTTTACAAATCAATGTCATCATGAACATGTTCAATTTGTATGATTTGTTTTTGTTTTCATCTTAGTTCAAACTATAAGAACAATGTTTTACGCATAAGATAGGTATAACGGAGTATGTTTAATCTATGGTATAACTGTCCTAAATTATACTACCAATAAAAGTTCTCAGTATAAAATCCTTTCACTCATCTACTCCAATACTTAATGCAAAAAATGCCAATCAAAGAGTAGACGTGTTTTTCCTTCACGTATGCTTAGGATGACTTCCTCTCCATTATTTTATTAGTTAACCATAAAATAAAATCCGAACTGCAAATGTGTAACAATAGATTATTGACATTTTACTCTGTTCGCAGATGACGTGACACCTGACATGAGATGGGCTTGTAGAAAACTAATAGAACATTCGTGTCGTCTTGAGAAGTTGAGTATAAAACCAGTGTACATCGGCGAGCGTGAAGCCGTGGACACCCTGTATACGATATAGAGGAAATACTGACAACATGAGAAAACTTTCATAAACATGTCTAAGTGTAAAACCCAGACTGGTGAAAATATCTAACTCTTGAAGGGATTTACACGTGAACCGCATGGACCGAATGGACTGCTCTTATTATGCTCCAGTCATGGTAGTCAGTGTCTAACTATTCGATTCTACAGTATACTAAAATTAAAGTTTTGTCTGTACCTTGATTGGTTTAAGTACAACATCAGTCAAGTAAATATCAAGTTGGCAATATACTTCGGTAACACGCAATATTATGTTTACTATATTTGATCACAACCTATTAAAAGTTAATACTCGTTAAGAAATAATTATTTGTAGATTTAAAATTTGAAAAATATGTGTTTTCTGTAATTTTTTTGTTTGTTATTTTAATTTAGAATAAATGTCTTAAAAATGTTTGGCACTATTGACTCTATTGATCCACAATCTTAATTGTACCTCCTACTTGTCGAATCAAATTTTGACTCTTAGATCAAGTGACAATCCCTAACTTTTCCGGGCTTTGGGATTAATCTCAGACATTGGCATGAAAATGAATCGTCCCAATAAAGGATTGATAAAATATTGTATACATGATTTTACTGTTTTTAATATTCTTTATGGACGTATAATATGATTCACACCCAAACAAAACAAATATAAACATTTTATTTTTGTATAATTATTTCCAAGGACGCCAATTAATATTTTATATCTGAAGCTTTATTTCGAAATATTGAAGGCATAGAACCAAGCTCTAAATAAAAAATCGAATGTAGTATGTGCCCTTTCTTAACGCAGTCTATATATATTCACGTTTGGTCTTTGAACTGATTTGGTCTTTTGTTTTTCGCTTGGTTGAAATTCAGACACACCTTATCTTATTGACTTTATTGGCTCTTCAAACATTACAAAATTCGACTTTATAGAATTAATTACATATATTTTTCAAAGACTTTTATATAACAACAGATCGCTGTTGCTTTACAGATTCTAACACAAACAATAATTTAACCTCGTCTATATTTAGTGGTAAGCCTCCACCTCGGCGGCATTAGATGATCTTTACAACAATATTGTAGAACTACCCAGTCAACACTAGCATTTCTTCTCCACTCAAGTCCGTCGTTTCTGCAGTTAAAACTCCTACACATCCTTTGATTCAAACACTTGACCTTTGGTTGTTGGATCTTACTAACGTTTTTCACTGAGTTTATAGTTTATAGTTTATTAGTATTAAGGAGAAGAGTTCTTTTGAAAAGCAGAATCATTGTATCTGAAAAACGCTCGCTAAATAAAGAAATTTTCAATTATTATTTATTTATTTACAGAAGAACGAACCAAAAAGGACAAAGATGAAAAAAATAGTTTATATTGCCATTGAATACAACACTATTCAATGATATTGCACACATTTTTAAGAGGTAATCAAAAATGCTATGTCAACCATATGTCTTAAAGTAAGATTTGTTGAATTTAAATACTTTTAATTGTTAATATTATTACACGGCAGATAGTCAATGCTGGGTCCGTCCATCTGAATTAAAAATATCCTCATTCATGATGACTATTTGGCATTGTTATTGTTTTTAAAGGATTATAATGCTATACTAATTTCAATTTTGTTCAACTGTGTAATTTTAAAATACTATTATTTCATCGTTACAGTACCACAATTTAAGTTATTAAAATTGAAATTATTAGAAACTGACCAATAATTTACTATTAATTTACTATTATTTTACAACTACTAATAGGCCTTGTAAAAAAATAATTCTGTTATTGTGATTATAAAAGAATTGATGTATTAAATGCACATTTTACTTTAAATAATAAAGCAGTTTAGTATGTATATTCAAAAGTTTAACCACTAGTAGGTTTGTGGAAAGAGGGGGATTTTTCATAGGTTTGATAAGTCTTATCACTAATATTTAGTAATGATGACGAACATGTAGATAACTGTTAGAACGCTTATCTAGTGAAGTTTTTACATGTGTTTAGAAAGATGTGACAATTCTAATAAGTGTGTATTTATGAATTTACGACTCTGTTTTACAATACGCATATGACGTTATGACGATCGACCCCAGTTTAGTTAATCTAAAACACTTGAAAAGTAAGTAGATTGAGTTAAGATAATTGGCAATATAAATTTCCGTTACAATTAACTTATGTTAGAGGTTCTTTAATTACCTCCCTTAGGAAGAACATTATTTTTGCAATACAACTTAGAAGAGCAGTGGAGTTTAGGATAGAACGATAGCGTACTAAAATGACGTATAACGTATAAGAAAGAATATCGGACTTGCAAAAGATATTGATTCTTATATCCTTACTAGTTTATCAATTTTTAAGAAATAAATACTACTCTTAATACTAATGTATGGATACCATACGTAAACCAACCATTGGAGAAAAACTGTTTAATTTAGAAACAAACTATATGTAATAATTTATTAAAAACTTGTTAAATCTGTTAATTTAAATGCAGAACTGGTGCTTGACGTGAAGCCATGAGTCATTGGTCTGCTTTTTATCTTAATGCAATTGATACAATTTATGTGGTGGTTGGGGAATTGTGGTTATTGTCTTAAACTTTACCAAGAGATATAAATCGAGCACAACAGTGACTTTGTATATTTATTTGTAAATTTATTGCCTGTAAATAAATTAAATGAAATGTAGACTCACGTTTGGACGTGTAAATTAAATTTTTGAATTAAACCATAATTCAATGATAGCAAAATATTTAGTGAATAATTAATTACACACTGAAACTGTTGAGAGTAGTTATTAAACTATGTTTGTAAATTATTAAAGACCTTTTGAAATAAGCTAAACAATAAGTTGTATTATTTTCTTCAGGATTTCCTGAAGTAAAGGACAAGTTCGTATGGCGAGCAGATTGGGGTGCGGATGAGCCAAAAGCGCGGGAACAACTCAAACTACCCGTGGAGGGAGTTCTTCTGACCTATACTGAGACTAAACCTTGCAAGACTAACGAAGCATGCATCAGAACTGTCAAACAGCTCCAGCAAGATCAGATGGCTGCTGGTATGGACGACATACAGTGGAAGTTAGTAATTCAGGTCAATATCAGTTGTTTGTTTAGTTTTTGTCCCACCTTCATATCCTAGGATTCTAGCGCGGAACGGTTCAGCACATTGCTTTTGGCTAGCCTAGAGGGTCGCAGCATCATTACATGGATAAACTCAATTGGTGATTGGCGTTATTTGAACCCGGGATCTCGGGGTCCGAAGCCCCGTGCTCTATCACTAGATCAGCTCACTCCCCTAGTATATGTAGGAAGTAAAAGTCAATAGGATTTACAGGAACTATAATATAATTTTGAAGACAATTTTTAAAATACAAGTGACGCTGTCCGTCATAATATATCCAAGATATAATATGTGTTTTTCTCATATGCAGGCGGTAGAACAATTGCAGCAAAATAAGACAAAGTGAGTACAGTTCCGATCAATGACATAATTTATATCCAAGATTTGTTACAGTTTCCTGGTTGGAAGTAATGGAATGATCTATGAAGGCAGAGGATGGGACGTTCTACCAGTAAAATCTCCGAAATATGCAAAATGGGATGGGAGAACATTCGACATAGCTTATATCGCTAACAAGAAACGTGAGTCAAATAGCTTTAAATGTTCATTAAACCCACTTTCATATGGTCTTTGACACATTTGTTCGATAATTTAAGAGAAATAAACTTACAGTCATTGGTTAATCAGCATACTAGGAGAGCCAAACTTTAGTCAACAAGTAGCCATGATATACTATCTCAGAGTAAATTGCGAGTTTTGAAAATGTTTTTTGCCATGACTTGGATATAATGTAATGTAAATTGTATCTAATTTTGCAGCTATAGTTATTTTTTTCTTAATTAAGTCTAATCACCTAGGAATTACTGTCAGATACAGGTATAGGTATAGTTGTCCAATTACATAATTCTTACTCCCTATTCTAAATAATTGATACTTATTGAATGTCATTGAAAATAAAGACGTAACTATTGTAAAGCCAACATAAAACTAACTAAATTCCTCTTTGGGAACATTTGTAACTTTGAGTAGTTTTCAGGGCAAGTAAACGAAGACATGAAATTCATAAAAGGGCAATTAATCAGATTTGCCCTATGGGAACTTTTGATCAAAGATGACTTTAAGTTCGTAGAAGACAAAGTTGACAGGAACAAGATCAAACAAAAAATGAGAGAGGCAGAGGAAAAGAAGAGGAAACTCAAGGAAATGAAAGCGAAGAAAAAACTAGAAAAGATAAAGAAGAAAGAAAAAGAGGAAAAGGAAAAATGGACGAAAGAGGAAGAGGAGTACGACGAAGGATGATAAGTTTACATGGTAGCGTAATATGTTTGCAGTTTTTTTTTTTATATCACTTGGTAAGTCGCTGTTTTACAAGTCGGTACAACTTCGTTTTCCATTGTATTGGTACTATATAATACAAGTATACTCGTTAATATATTATACGTAATTTGTTTTAAATTGTTGTGGAGTGATTTCATTTACCATATTCTAAAATAATCTTGTAGCTAAGATGTTATACCCAAGAACAAATCTTGACTTAAGTTGAAATGTAAATTGATTTATTAGTGTAAAAACATAAGTCGAAAAACATTTTTTTTTGTTAGTGGTATGTGATGAACGGTTTTAGAAGTTTAAAATAAATATAAAACCCAACCAATCTGAGATAAAATTTGAGGTGGTCAAGAAATAAAGTTCGGAAGAACTACAGTAGGCCTAGTTTACTTTCTAGCTTCGTGATTCTGGGAATAGAATAAAATAGTGAATAAGAAAACTAATTTATTAGTATCTGTGTATAGAACAATCAACCAATTCAAATTAGAAGTTCTTTAATTTCCTTGTTTCCTTGGGGGGAGCGATTTGGTTTAGTGGTTAGAGCGCGGGACTTCAGTCCCTGAGGTACGGGGATCAAATCCCGCTAAGTCACCAATGGATTTTATCTAAGTGATAATGCCGCAATCCCTAGGTCTAGTAATGTGAAAAACAATCCCAGACTCGTGCCTAGCGTCCTAGGACAAAAAATCCTTGTTCGCTGCTAATTGTGATACTAACATTTTGAAATTATTATACGGACGGAAAACCGATATGGGAAACCCATAGTTATACAGTATTGCAAAATCTGTTTATCTCTTTGCAAGGAAAGATCCAACAAAACAGGCACAGGTTATTTATGGATACCCGATGTATATGTTATGAAAAGTAGTAACATATTCGGTAAAACAAAAAGGTAGTTTGGACGAGCTTACCACTTAAGCAGGAAACCCACTAGCTTTATAATTATCTTTTTTAAACAAATTTTGTACAGTAGGTTTTTTTTTATTTCTTCTACGGATTTTACATTTCAAACTTCTGCTAGTGGATCCAAACCACAACTATTCACTTTTCTTCACTAATAGCATAGTAAAATAACAAACGAACGATCACAACTTAATCTAGGGCTGTGTTTCAACACTATTCCCTGTATCAAATATCAGCGTGGGTCTGCTACGACTCCTATAACTCAACAAATCAACAGAACAGCGCCTTGTTGAAAGCCCTAACAAGAGTTGACAGTTGTTAAGTGTGTCTGCGCAAATAAAACCTACCGACAGCAACAGGCGACCCATCCCTATAAATCCGTTGTACAATGTAGTAAAGGTTTTACATCTCTCCTCGCTCGTTTACGATCAACGACTGACTGATTTACATTTTACGAGTTGAAGAATCTATCGGAACCCGACACTTGGAGATCGATTGGGAATCCCACGTCGAAGAAAGGTGCTGTAACGTTGGTATGAAGAAATATTAGATGGCAAAAACGGAAGTAGAGCAGAGAAAAAACTTTAGCCACTTGCATATTCCAGCTTTGAAATACAATCAATTGTGGAAGGTTTTTCAAGATTAGACACTGTATCCAGTAACGAAACCCTCCTGGCAACTCAAGAACTGCTAGGATGATAAGTTTCTAACTATAAAAACAACCCGTTGAAGAAAATATGATATTAGTTCATTACTAATTTCGTAGTTTACGTTACGTAACTCAACTCGTTTATAATATCCACTTATCACAATTCTTTGCCAATAAATCATTTGTTTACAAGTAAAAAATCCCATTACGAAATCATTACCGTAAGATGACGGATGAACATTATATGTCTATAGCGCTAAAACTTGCGGAAAGAAACTTGGGTTTGGTCGCTCCAAACCCGTCAGTTGGGTGTGTCATAGTTAAGTATGGGGTGATAATAGGGGAAGGGCAGACAGCTCCTGGGGGGCGACCCCATGCGGAGACTGTAGCTTTGACAAACTCCAAGATGTCTCCACAAGACTCTATCATGTATGTGACGTTGGAACCTTGCTGTCATCAAGGAGTCACTGGGCCTTGCGCTGATGAGATCATCAGGTCTAAGATCAAGAAGGTTGTGGTTGCCACTGTCGACCCGGACAAGAGAGTTTCTGGAGGAGGGATCAAGAAACTCATTGAAGCAGGAGTGGAAGTTGTACAAGGCGTGATGAAAGAGGAAGCTGAGGACTTGAATATTGGCTTTTTCACCACGAGGAGACTCCACCGTCCGTGGATCACGTGTAAAATCGCTACCACCTTGGATGGTAAAATAGCTTCAGCGAGTGGTGACAGCAAATGGATAACTCAAGAGGATACTAGAGAATGGGTTCACCAGGTGAGAGCTAAATACGACGCTGTGATGATCGGAAGCAACACTTTAGTTAGTGATGACCCTTTGTTGACCTGCAGAATACCCGGGATGGAAGACAGATCTCCTGTCAGAATCATCATAGATAGCCAACAGAGATTGAAGGAAACTCACAAAATAGCAAAAACAGCTGACAAAGTGAAGACGTGGATTGTCACAAATAAGGAGGTCACAATGAAAATTCAGTTTGTTAACTACCTTGTAGTGGAATCTAACGGTGATGGAAAAGTTTGTATGAAGGACGCGATGGAAAAGATAGCTTCAGTGGTGGGTATCACGAGATTGTTGGTGGAAGGGGGAGGGGGTTTGCTGACGGAACTGCTGAAGGAAAACTTGATAGACAGATTGATAATGTGCAGAAGCGGGAAAATCATTGGGAACGATGGAGTGCCTTGTGTGAGAGATCTAGGGATCGCGACGATCAGTAAATGTCTCAGGTTCAGGAAAGTTGAAGTGAAGGAGTTCAGTGAAGATGTAGCTGAAGTTTGGGATAAGCTGTAGTTTGACTTAGTTTAAATTTAGTCTCATCTTAGCAAACTATTGCACCCCACCCAAAAACACTATAGTACGGTCTACGAGAGACTGCAGTTGAGGGAGGAGCCTATATACCACGTGACTTCGAAGTAGCCAATGAGGACCGTGTGTTGTTGCCAAATCTAATAATACCAGCTGATTAGAAAATATTATTTAGTACATTTTATTATTTTAATAATTGTCGAAAATTAGTGAACTGGTGATGTTGCAACGCCAACTGCAGACTCTCGTGGCCTCTCGTATAACTATATTACTATCGTTGTACAACATTTAGGATTCTATAGATATTTAAAACTCAATTGTGTTTTATATTAAATTTTCAATACCACCTTGGTGTATCTATCTATATATTAATAGGCAAGCCTGTTTCTTTAAAACCTTTTTTCTCAGCTCGTGTGCATCGTGGGGTAAATCTACGCATACCGTTAGAAAGCTATTTTCCTGTAGGTGTGCAGAATCCCTTTATAAATTGAAATAGGCTCAAAGATAAGCACAAAAAATGAGTTTAAAAATTTGAAAAAATTAACATGGATCTTATGCGTTGCCATGCTGGTGACGAAATAACAACGAAATATAAACAGAAAATCAAAACAAATGGAAGAAACTCCAATCACATGTTTTATTTACAGTGTGGGGTGAAAATAGAGAAGTAAGTAAGTTACCATTACATATTTTTGGTCGAGTTTCGACCACTGGACGACCTCTCGTACTTAATAACTTGTAGGAAAAATAATTATTGAAATTATTGTCGTATATATTATGCAGAGGTTTCTTAAAAGAAACTTTACAATATGTAATTCTCTTATACATTTTGTATTATTTTATAAAAACTACTGGAGGGTAGTGCTTTATTGTTGTATCCCTAGATGGAAACGCTTAAAAATATACTGTAACTTACAAAATGCTCATGCTAAACTTGTATTCCCCCAACAGAAATTCTATACACTTAAGAAGAACCATTAAACAATTATGATCGTTTCCATGGTACACTCGTTTTAACCTATACAGGATATTCAAAAAAGGTGGGTACATAATTTACATTGTGATTCCTTGGGTAAAAATAAAGAGAAAATCAGGACTAACATTTTTTTCCAAAATCGCTTCCTTAACCAAATATCCGCCATTTTGAATCTTTCATTTAAACATTTTTATCTTTATTTTTTTAACGATCGTTATGAAACTTGGTATGTATGTTAAGATAGAAGAGACCCATGTTAGAAAAAAAATCATCTTGTTTCAAATAAAAATTTCAAAAAGGTGGCCGTTTTAATTCTTTAAACTTAAATTCCTCAAAAACGGCTAATTATATGAAAAAAATGCCAAGAACGTTTTTATTTACCTTTTTTCATTCCCTATCAAACGATACCAAGTTCAAAAAGATGAAATAAGAAATAGCTTAAATATTAGATTTTTATATTATGATTGTTAGTACGTACACTACTAAAAAATACTGAATTTAAAGTAAGTGTGTTATTTTTCTGTTAAAACCCTAAACAATTATTTAATCACTAACACAATGTGTTGCTTGTGTCTCAAGATAAACTTATATTACATCTTACTGTGGCAAAATCAGTTGTTTTATATGCATTCTTGGCTGGGCTAGAGTAAGCAGATCGTTTCCCCACCCCTCTGGGGATAGAATGATCACCTGGATTCGACTACTTCAGTGCATTTTTTTGCTGTAAAATGCTTGCGCTTATCTTTTCGAAAAACAAATTCCATCTATTAAATAATCATACAAATTTAATTATTTGTCCTGCTTATTATCTTTTATATTTTTATATTTTATTTAAAATATACCAGCTTCCCGACATTAAAGCAAAAGATTAAACACTAACAAAGTGAATTTCTTTTATTTAGAAATGTATATATTTCAGTTTATTTTCGGCCAACACTAATTTCTATTATTTGTATAAGTTTAAATTCGTGTAAAAAAATTCTCCAGTAATAAGATATATTAGTATGCCTACTTAAAATGTTTGTGACAAATAATTGTAAATTAACATCATGAGAAGTAATAAATCATGAATAACACACTTGTCTTCGATTACGTGTAATTCGTGTAATACATAGATTAAATCTAGTCTCAAGCTAATATTTATCAAAAGTATATGATCATAAAGAGAAATTTACAAGGTGACAAAAAGTCAATTAGGGTTAAATATTTCAAGGAATAGTCAAGATAGAGCCAGGGAACTTTGTACAAAGCTAAGAGGCATTAAAATGAATTAGCACATAATCCAGTGATACGCTACCCTCTCTGGGGGACGGCCCGCTAGGGGTCAGAGGAAAATTTTTAATAAAAACTTAAACCTATTGAAAACTATAGTTGCTAATACTATTGGTGATACCATTTTAATAAAATAAATTAAATTCCAATAAAGCGCATGAACTAGCCCTGGAACGCTTTATGCTCTTTGTGTCCCAAAAAGATGAAATCTGGGTCGATGTAAAACTCATCAATCCCAATTTTCACAAACTTATTCACAGCTTCCTCCATTAAAGGTGTAACATGATTCTCTGAAAAAAAAAGAAATTACAGGAATATTATTTAACAATTCCTTTTCATGTGGTTTGATAAAATATTCATTACATATTTGTTTCTTTCGAAGTTTTGGAAGAGTTTTACTGTTTTAAAGTTAAGTGTTCAACACGTTTATTACGACTATTTAATGTGTGTTCTTTAGGTCTTCTGTAGTTTTGTGATTAATTCGTGATGCTGGTGGAATATAAACTATCGCAAAATGTGCCTGTGAAAAAACATCAATAGCAAGCAAAAATAACCTTAGGTAGCAATGTAACCAAGACTATTGTAAGCTACTGAAATTTTCCCTACCTCCATAACGTCCTATGTAAGCGATGTCGATTGATTTTTTGTGGTATTGTTCAAACTCTACATCTTTGTCAGCACAAATTTCCCATCCTCTGCCTTCATATACTCTGCCGGTGCCTCCAACCATGAAACTATAAAAAACAATACATCATATAACAGTATTAACAATACACAAATACCTTACAAATAGACTTGAGGCGTTACAATTGCTGAACAAGGAAGACTAAGCACTCAAAAAGTTATCTAACAATTTATTCGTGATCGACGAATATTGGTTTTGTTCCTTGAGAAAGATTTGAAATCACTTCAACCTATATTGTAACTGAGATATCCAACTAGACTAGATAATCACCCTAGTTCAACGGTAGGTGCAATTTACATTTTGACCTTGAAAATAGGTTTGTAACTCAACGGATACCAAAATATAAATATAACTAAGACTTTCTATGATAAGAAATAATATCGTAGATGATTAAGCAATCACAAATCATAAATTATGATGTTTCCCGTAGTTTAATTACTATCTCTTGTTCCTTTTATATACAAAATAAATTACAATGTCTTTTCCTGTTCTCTCTCTTCTATGTAAGGATTTTGCAATGTGCATTATAGTTTCACTCAAGAATTGATAGATGGATAGATTTATTTTAGAATAGATTTATTCATGTTCTTCGGTTTGCTGTATACCTTTTTGGAGAAATACACATTTTTCGATTTTATTTTGATTTTAAAAATGTATCGAATCTCCACAACCTCCACCATTTCAATCATAGTTGAACCTAAATAAACTTGCCACTTTCGCGCTCACTTCCACTGGATGTCCTCCAAGCCCTCATTCATGTGTTTGGTCTGCAGCTCCTTCACTGTCCTCATGCACGTATCGTTGTCCTCGCATGGGTCCGTGTTGGTGAATGTGAGAAGTACATAAGGCACGGCTGCTCCTCCTATGAGTTGCATCTCGGGGTCGTTCATGGCTGCACCCCATTCCTGGCGGTAAACTATACGAAGAGGTTTCTCGTAGGTTGTCTGAGCAAATGTAATATTGATTATCTCTTTAATACCTTATACATCAGGATGGTTAATTGGTTTACTATTGTCCCATGAAATAGTTTGGCAATTTATTCTTGAGAGAAATAGGGCCACCCTTATAAGCGATTTGTTTGAAGGGAGGTTAGTGTAACGCAAAGAAAAGTTTATCGCTACATCAAACATGAGCAGTATGTATGTTTGAAAATAATAGATAGGCACACTGTAGGTGGCTCACGTCAACTACGAAGATTTTGATAAACATCTGGGTACAAATTTTAAATTTAACATGGGGATGGAATGTCTAGTTGTATTAATAGTCAAAGGTAATAGTTATATTGTTTTCAGATGGATAGCTAAAATATGCTTATACAAGATGCAATAATACAAAAAGCACACTCAGAGCAAAATAGAATCTGAATAAATCAAATATTTATTCTTCTGGAGTAAAGACAAACCATCGAAGAGCTATTATAATTACATTACCTATTGATTACCTAGGTAATTTTTGCAAACTTTAAAACTCAAACTTACTATAAATATTCATTACCTGTGTACTGGCAGCCATTAGGAAGTGGCACAAGTCAAAGTAAAAGAATACCTAAAACATTAACAGCAAGAGAATTTGATTTTATAAATGACCGGTGAAATTCGAAAGTTTGATGTTGTACAATAATAACTTACTCTACAGACTGTGCTATGATTGTGTACCATATATTTTAAAATGTAATTATTTGATTGGTCGATCCATTTACCTCCCGAGAATAACAAATCATAACTCATTTTATCACTATCATGACCACAGTTAAAAATATAACTACGAAACAGAATGATATATTTGAGATAAAACACTAGGTAACGGTTTCAATCAGATAGTTGTAAAATCAAAAGCTATTTAATTTCGAAGACGATACAGTACTAGTGTGGTACGTGTGATATTATAATTCTATAGACCGGTATTTAAAGTTTAACAATCATCCAATAATTAATTATATAGTTTACAATAAAGCTTTTCAAATCCATATGTTACATGGCCTAACTAGATCCAAGTATTTAATTGTATCCGTTAACTTGAAGGAAAATTGTTAGGTTAGTTTCAAATGTAATAAACAATTTACGGTTTACAATAGTTTTGTACCCATTTTCTTGTGATCACATACATTTTAAACCTTGTTAAGAATAAAGTAGGTATTTAATTTATTAAATTATTGAATAATTTATTATTTAATCGTTATAAATATTTATTTCTTCCTATATTTTACTCATCTCTACATGAACGGTCCGCAAATTAACACTCTTACCCAATACCACGTTGCAAGCTTTGATTGTGATTAATTAATTGAATTATATGTGAATAATAGCTGTAAACCACAAATCAAAATAAAATCCTCACTTCCAGCCTATCAAACTCGCCATAATGATGTCTGAATCACTCAGATATTCCCGCCGGAATGTCGTGCGGTGCGCAAGCGCGGGAGAGCACGCGTGTAGTACGCACGCGTCGTCTTGTCGTGACAGAGAGCGCATTATTCACTCTGCGCGGCCGAGGAATACGCAAACACGGCGGCTCTTTTGAAGACTCACCCACAGCTCCCGTTATTGCTCTTAATGCTTGCGACTGCGCGCAATTTGGCAACAGGTCTCCTAGGTTAGAGGGAAACGTTTGCGCAATATTTTGAGGTCGTGACACATCTAGGTCCTCCCGGAAGACGTTGGACGTTTTATTCTACAAGAGGTGAGCTATGGAAACTTAATAGCAGTGGGATTTCCGTTAATCTATTGTTGTGAGTGGTTCTATGAATTGAGTGTGCTTATGCAAATTTAGTGAAAACTAAAATTCTAGATGACTTGTTCACGCTTCAGGCCTGTATCTTTATGCATCTTTTGAAGATGTTTAGAGTGTTTATGTAGTTATATAAAGTCTTCAAATTTCAAATTATAATTACAAGGGCAACACTAATTTAATTTAAATTTTTTTTTTTTAAGTAAAGCTCTAATATCTTTTTCAACAAAACTTTGCAAAAACACGAAACTTCAACCAATTAGTTTAATGGTGGGTTCGTTATGTTGCTCTACATGTTGCTTGTAATGATTTATTTTAAAATATCAAAATGCTAATGGGTTAAAATTGGAATGATTTCAGTGTCATTGTTCAATGAAATTACTTTAAATAATACGCTTTCATTGGCACAATATAAATTTGTAAATGTGATAAATGTATGCACAAGTGTGGGCACACGTCAGCAGTTAATAGCATTTAATATGCTCATAAAATAGCATCATGGAAACTAAAAACATAATATTTCAACTCTTAAAACCTATAAACTTTAAACAGTAAAGTTGGTTTGGGAAATATTTATCCGATTTGATTTAACTTTCGGTCGCCATATTTTTGTCAATATCCTGTAAGTGTAGTCAGATTTTACGAATAATATCAACATTTATTAACTGTACTACTTTCCCTACCTAATCAGTCGAAAGTAGGTTCATACCAACAAAAGTCAAAATTCACCCTTCAGAATACCGTTTAAATTATATCTTATCCCATCCCACTTTATAAGCACTTTTCCCATGACATTACAGATACATGTCAAGTAGATCCTCAAGAATCTCTACCAGCTTAGAGACTATTGTTTATCCTTGGCGTAGGTAATTGGAGCAAAGTTTGTCCTTGAATACAGATTAGACAACTCCTCCGCAGCCACTTCCATCTCAACACAACACAAACCAATCAACAGTAAAGAGTAAGGCACGTCCGGCTGATTGATTTATATCACCATTGGTCCCATAAAATCGAAATCGTGCGGTAGTAAAATGCAAAACACCATCGAGACTTCCCATAGCATCCAGGAACAACGGTTCCCCATCAGCCATAGTTATGGCCAATATTGTCTGCTTGTTTGTTATAAGGAGGGAATTGAATAATGAGTTACAATATTTCAAATTTATTTATTTTTCATGTCTACTATGAATACAGATACCGCTTGATCTTTAACTTTCACCTGTTGTAATTAGTCATTATTACTTTTATAATACACTGAGCTACAGGGAATTTATTAGTTTCTCAATGATAAATGACTGAAGATTTGTATTTAAATATGTTTTCCGACAAAATATTTCTCTTACTTTTAAGAAGAAGTGTTTTTGTGGAACCCTCTTATTAATACACAAGGATTAGTAAATCACACTAAACTCTAGTTAAATTTAATTTGTTATACATTATCCTTGTACTTATTAAATTCGAAGGCATTAAAATTAAAACAGTTAACAATAACATTCTACAAAAATCTATGGCTTATAAGACTTTACATGTACAAAGAACTTTAAGAACAGTTTATATGAATTGAATTGAAAATGTATTAATTGTTTATTTAAAAATGCAATACAATAGAATATATTATACACTGAAGTTGTACATAATGTTATTGTATTTGACTTCTAATATGAACAAAAATACAAATACTTCTCACAACATAAATCTAACTAATTAATTGTCATCGAACAATAACGCCTAATACGATATATACATCATATAAAATAGAATTCAAATAAAGACACAAAAACAATTAACAAACATTTTGTAAAAAAAAACTAAAAAATGCATGTATATTTGCAAGGATTCCTAAATCACAGTGTACTTTGGTTGCATCATACTATCGGCTATGATAATATTGTAAATATTAAAAAGAAAGTGAGTTATACATCCCCCCACCTCCAGCTCACTAGCCGGTCATTCCCATGATTTGCAAAACCTTTCATTTTTACTTACATGTAAAGAATCAAACTATTTTCCATTGACATACTCCAATAAAACAACCTAGTATAGTCTCATATTTTAAACACTCCCTAGACAGTAACCGTTGTCACGAGTAACGTTCCTGTTTGTACCTAGTTACTTGTTATGTTACATATTCACAGGAGTGTACCACATCGGCCCACGCCACGTTTGATTCTAGTGATTTGAATCCATTTGCAACATAACAGATCCAGATCCCAATATTAAACGCCTACTCGACGACGGAACGGTCGGTTCTCTTTATGTTGTTGTTTTCCAAACTGTTTGTGAACAAGTGCACGCCGAAGGAATAGTTGGAATTTTGTACGTTCGGAAATGTTTTTATGGAAATGAAATGTGTCTTGAAACTGTTAAGCTTGTTTTGGGCTGGTTGTAAAATACGATGCGCCCAAGTATTGAAAGGTGTGGGTTTGTCCTTTTGAAGTTGTACAAAAGGTGTTAGTATTTTTGTTAGTATTTTATGAGTGGTTTTATTATCTTGATTTAAATTCATTCAGCTTCACTTGGAGTGTTTTAGTAAGTTCTTAAGATAAGACGTTTAAATCGTGGTGAACATTACTATTGTAAAAGTTTATACTTTCGTTTGTTCTCTCTGCACTATCCTAGGACCACTGTCCACTAACTACATGGATTAATAATGGTAATAATTTTCTACATTTTGAATTTTTTTAGGTTATGATTTGATTTTTAACTAATGCCAAGAAAACCTCAATAAAATAATTCTTCCCTCTTTATTCGTAAAATTCTTTGAAGTTGAATGGTTGGGATTCCACTCGGATTTACAGGTTGTTTATTAAGGGGTTTTTACGTGTTCAACGTGATAGTATAATAATGTTACTAACTTATTGATTGCAGGAATTATTAGCTCTATTGTAACACTTTTATCACAAACCCCCCCCCCTTGTTAGATGCAATCATATATCTTTAACTAAAACAGAATCCAAACACTCGTGCTGAAATATACAGCTTCAAGTATGATTATAAGCTTTGGCTATTGACATTACGTCAAATGATACGTCCCATCTCCATGTTAAAGTGTTTTGCCAGTGTTAAAATCAAAATGGACTTAATTGTAGATAGCCATTGACAGACTGCATCGATGAAAATAAAATGAAGATTTCTGTCGCAAAAGTAGACTTCTAACCAAACAAAACTGATAGAACTAGAAAATATTATGGACACAAATGTATTCGCGACACATGATCCATAACGATCAAATATCAACTTCAGCGTACTAAAGTCTACAAAAGTCAATACTAGTAAAATAACTGTGTAGTACTTAACCAGCCAGATCTTCATCCACTTCATTCTACACATTAAAGCTTACTCTCATCCCCCCATAGCATACCAACTGTAGTCTCGCACAATTTTACAACCATATTTAGCCATATCCACGAGGTGCTCTGCCTACAGGGGGCGTAGTCCTGTGTTAGTGTTAATGTCCGATGATAGTGATCTCGGCACAGGATATATCACCTCTACTAGTGTTTAACCCCGAGTATTTACAAACTTCACCTTTGTCCGTGGGTCGTAGGTAAACACAATGATATGCTCGACGCGGGTCTCTAGTTACATGTTAAAGCGCTTTTATGTACTTATATTATAGATATGGTTGTGGCGAGGGTTTGTTGTTACTTTGTGTAAAACTGTATAGCTTATTATGAGCTAGGGAAATCCATTTAGTGAAACAGGCATTTATATTTTATAATGTAAGTTTTACTGTACGAGAAATCACAATGCAGGATCAGAGCTGAGAACTCTATTACCTTTAATAATTAAATAAACATCCGTCTTGTAATGTAAATTCATAATCATTGTATCCAAGATTCTCAAGGCTCTTTCCTTCTTCTAAATGTTGAATGATGGTTTTAAGGTGTTCTTCCTTCAG